GTGCTGAAGGTTTGGCAGTTTCGGGTCAGGGGCTTCAAATTGAAGGTTTAGGTTGGCACTTCATTGTCAGACCCTTGATGCATTTGCTTCTTTCTCCGCGTCCTCCATCTCCGTCCCGCCAGACTGGAACCAGTGGTGGTGGTGGTGGTGGTGGACACTCTTTGCGATTGAAGGTTCCAGAGCATTGGCCTTATAACGATGATGGGGGCACTCCTTGCAATTGAAGGTTTTCCGGAGAGCACCTCACCCAGAAAAACAAATGGCAAACCCGAGTCTTTAATATTGAGGTTTTTAAGTTCCCCTCCAAAGAGACAGATCGCACCACCACCACCACCACCACCTCCACAGCACCCCGTTCATCTTTTCTGACGATGAGTCTCTAGAAAACTTTCAGTCGCAAAGAGGTGATGACGTTCTGGAAAACTTTCAAGCACAGCAAGGAGTGTCCCCCTCGCACTACTGCCTTGCCTCTCTGCTCTGGTCCGGTTTCTTCAAGGAGACACTTCGCAAGCCCTGGTCACTAAGATGTTTAGTCCAAGTTCTCCAAGGGCACGGATCTCGAGCCTGGCTCTAAGATGTTAGGTTTTAAGTTCTTTTCCATTGGGGAAGAACTTATACCAATAACCTTAGGAACCGAGGCTTGCGATTTGGTCATTATACAGGTGGTGGGTAGGGATTGGGGCGGGGTGGGAAGGGAGGAATCTATCAGGCGGTGGGTGCGCTCCCATAGTGTTCGGACAACCTGACTTACATACAGCCAAATTCAACACCTGCACTCCGACGAACATTTTCTTTTTTTACAGAATACGTAGCTGAAGAATTCGCGAAGCATTTTTGGAGGACAAGGGTTTACACAATGCCTTGCAAGTTTGCTGTAGGACGAGAACAACGGTTTACAAAAATCGTGCAGCTCTGTTCTTAGAGGAGCAGAGGGTTTACAAAAACCTTGCAGGTTTGTTGTAGGAAGAGAACAACGGTTTACAAAAATCTTGCAGTTCTGTTCTTCGAGGATCAGGGGGTTCACAAAAAACCTTGCAGTTTTGTTGTAGGGAGAGAACAACTGTTTACAACATTTTTGCAGCTTTGTTGTTGGAGAAAAACAAGGGCTTACAGAAAACCTTGCAGCTTTGTTGTTGGAGGAGGACGAGGGTTTACATTCTTGTTGCTGGTATTTAATTGAGGCCCGGAATTAAATAATGTAGATACTTTAAATATGGGGGAAGCCCCCGAATTAAGATTATTTGATTCTCTGCCGCCACCGGCTCCCGGATCCCTTCCCCCGGATTTCTGCATTCATTGAATGCGTTGAATACAAAATTGGGGGCCGGGAAAGGAATAATTTGATAAAAGAAATCCTAAAGATAAAAAGGGGGCTCCTGACCCCCCCGATCCCGCTCGGGGGGGGCTGAAGGGGTCCACGAGTGGTCCCCCACCGGGATTTAAATCATTTAAACTGGTTGATTTCGGCTCCAATTAAATAATTCAAAGAGTTACATACCCGTGCCGGGGGGTGGGCTGAAGGGGTTCCGGGGTTCTGGGGGCTTTGTGGCCAACTTCCCCGGGTTTCTAAATTCTTTTCAATTATTTATTTTCCGGCCCCATTTAAATGATCTAATATACCCGAGGCCCCCGCACCGGAATGTAAATCATTTAGGTTTTTAATTTATTTAAATGGAGCCGGGAATCAAATGATTTAAGCAGTTTTTCTCTTGGGAGCGGGCCCACAGACGCCTTGGTGCCAGGAATTTAAAAAGAAACAAAAAAAAGTGAAATCCCGGTAGGGAGCCCCGGACCTTCTGGACCCCCCAAAACCCTTCCCCAGTATTTAGTTTTGTAGAACAGGTATTAGGGCCGGACAGTGTTTTTTTTGTGTCTTAATGGATTAAATAAGGAAGCTTGCGCAGTATTTAAATTATTCAAAGACTTTATTTAATTGGTGCCAGGAATTAAGCGAAGGGCTTCGGACCCTTCAGCCCCCTCCCCCCACCCCGGGATTTGAATTGTTGTTTTTGGTGATTACTGTTTTTTGCTGGTGAGGGGCCCACAGACCCCCTGGACTCCATTTAAATCCCGGGGAGATGGCCCCCGGAGCCCTGGACTCCCCCAACCCGCCCCGGACCCCCCATAACCCCGCACCTCCCCATGATTGAAATTATTTACTAACGGCCTGCAAAAAAATTACACAATTCAAATCCGGAGGCTTGCCCAGTATTTAAATTACTTAAATCCACGGCCGGACCCCGTGCCAAGACACCACATAGGGTCTATTTAGCAGCGCACTGCCGGAAACCAGCCAAAACATACCAAAACCCCACAATTTCAGCTGCTAAATAGACGACCCGGTTTCAGTGGCTCCAAAACCCACGTTTTCAGCTGCTAAATAGACCCAGTTTAACCTACACATGGAAGGAGGGGGGGGGGGGGCTGTTAGGAACTGTTATTTAGGACTTGTGGGTATGGGGTTTATATGGGACACGGTTTAGGTTTTGGATCCAGGGTGCATGTTGTATGGATGGATGGATGGATGGATGGATGGATAGATGGATGGATGTGTGTGTGTGT